AGTATTACACTATGAATGATGCTATCGCATGCTACCGACCTCTAGATACTCGATCAAAAATTTTCAAATATATGTTTATTATTTTATTATTATGTATTAATAATAATAATACATCGTGTTCACGTTTGGCAAAATAGAGCGGGATAGATAATCAAATTAATAAATCAATGGAGATCAAATAAGAGAAATATTTCTAATGAGTGTGAGGCAATGAGAGAGAGAGAGAGGGAAAATGGAGCGAGAGAGTAACTGATATATTATTGATTTAAATATAGAGATTGAGATTTCATATTTCAACTATGTTTCAAGTGAACAAAATCATATATAGACGCAACCAATATGCTCGTTTCGTCAGGTGAACGAGCATGCAAACAGCTTGAAGCAACAACAAAAAGCTGCGGCAGCCGCTGCAGCAGCAGTAACAGCAACAACAATAACACGTATAGCATGAAGACGTCCGCATGGCAAACGAAACCACGTAATGAAAATCGGAACACTAAATAATAAACTCAACAAAAGCTAAGCCGAACGAGCGCTACTGATTGGGAGAGCGTGAGCGCAGAGAGAGAGAGAGAGAGAGAGGCAAGGCTAAGGCGTAATGACAAAGCAAAGAGTGGAAGTAGACATCGAAGAGCTCAAAGCAACAACAACAACGAGTACCGCTAGGTCGCGCTCGTCATTTAGTTGGCCTGCTGAGCGAGCCAGCAGCGATCTCTGGTTTATCTTTATCTCCATTACGGTATCTATTACGAGTGCATTTGAGTCTCGTTTGCGACGCATTTCTTGAGTGTGTCCATTTGAGGTTATGTTTGAGTTCAACACTGAAGCTAGTTAACCGCGAAAACAATAACAAAGCGTATAAAACAAATCATTTAGCAAATCAGTCGGTATTGTACTAGGCCATTTGGATGCAAATAGCCCGATGAATATTCACCAAATTGTGCAATAAAATTGAACAAGAGTAAATCAAGCAGATGGAATATAATCCAATTATATTAATTGTTTATTAACTCTTTTCCATAGAATAGGTTTTCTTCAAGTTCTTGTTTACCCACTCGGTTCTCCATTGTCAGCGAAAATGAATTTGGTGTTGGTCGAAAACAGAAACCGTTAACTGCTGTTAAAATGGGAGCGATTGCGAGGTTAAATTTAATATACATACATATATGAATGTATGTATGTATGCAGTTTATTATTTTTCAATCACATTTTGCAAACGCTTTCATTTTCACCTTTAAGCGCAATTCTTGTTTATTTAATTTGGGCCAATGATATATATGGCGACCTAAATAAATGTATGTATGTATATATATTTGTTTCTAGAAAATATAAGAAATGGAGCGAACAGGTGAGCCAGGGATTGCACTGAAGACAATGTGTTAATGGTATCAACCTCTAAACGCAATTTTTAGCATTAATTAACATTATTATAATTTAGTAATCAATGTCATAAAATGTTAAAAAAGAAACCCTATAAAATATATGTCAAATTTGGTTACTAGACTAACTTTTATTATATAACATATGCTAATTCTTAAGGTTGTTATTGAAGTGTTGAAATCGTCATATGGGGTCTTCAGTATAAAAGTATTCATTGCAGTTCCGGACATTCAACGCCCAATAGCTTTTTCTTGGTTATAGTCTTGAAACACTATTATGTCTCATATTGTGCTGACAAATCTATTTTTAGAGCAGAGCCAAGTCTCTGTTTGCCTCTGTGCTGGGCCCAATTGCAAGTGACCTAAAAAAACGAAGAGGAAAAAGACGAAGCCCACATGCCAACGAGTTTCGAGTTTGGTTGGGTGTATTATGATCTTTGTGGTCCGCGCGACAAAAGAGATGCCTCAAATAAAATTTTACAGTAATTTTTAGTGTCACGCAAAAGATAGAAAGTGGGTGGCTGCCCAGTGCGTAGGTGGGCGTAGGCCCCATGTGTGTGGGTGTAAGCTGAAAGTGTTTGTCGCCGACACAAGTTGGGTAAACTCGCATTGTAGGTAACATGCGATGTAAGACAACATGAGATAAATCTAAAAAGTGACACATGTATTATATATGAGTCTAAAGACGATGCATAGATACATCCCAAACTGGTTGAACATAAAATTGAATTCCCTCAATTATCATCTAAAATGCAATCCCATATCCAGAGATAAAAACTTTCCGTTGCTGCACGAAATTAAATAATTACTTCTACCGCCTGCACTTATATTTGATGAGCCCCCCTTAATCCGAATGCTGCAACTGATGACTGTTTGATAGAGTTCGTTTTCAGCTCTGTTGCTAATGCTGTTGCTTTACACGTGCTTGATTTTTACCACCCCTATATGGCAATTATTGTTACAACTCGTTTCTAATTAGCATAATTTGCTATGATTGCGAGTTAAGTGGAATTTTATTGTAGTTTACACATTTAGAATCGTATACAATGTTTTTATTAGTACACAAAGTATTTTTCTATTCTTCCACTTCCTGTTCGGCTGTGACTTACATTCCTGAGCTCAATCGTTGAGAATCGTAGAGAGGCGCTCAAGCTTGAAACTATCTTCATTGCTTTCTCATTTTAAGTGAAATCCCATTCGCGCTCATCCACATGCTGCTCTTATCTGATTTCTAATTAGTATGTCGTTCCAATCGGCCATCCTCAGAATGTGAGAATCGCAAAGGAAGGTGCAAGTGTGCCCAGTCTTCCACAGATATCTTAAACTGATACGAAACCAATTTAAAATCACCTTATTTCTCTATCAGTCATATCTACTTCCTGCTCTCTCTATCTCGTTCTCTCCCTCTGTTCTGCGGCAGATAACTGTTCAAATGGGCCATAACAAAACACCGATTAGCCATATAATTTACATTTATATTGTAAATCGATTTGAGTGGCCTTTTCGAAAATGCATTTCAATTCGATGACCAACGACAGAGACTTTATCATGGTTCAATCGAATTTCCACTTAGTCATCCGGCATTCTCTATTCTCCTCCCGCCTCCCCTCTGGTGTACAGCCTGTTGTTGGTTAACTGCTTTTGCTAACGTGTGAGTGAGACTAAGACCAACTTTTGCCGCGTCACGTCTTCAAGTGGAGCTCTTGCACTTGGAACTGCAGCACACACATGCACACACATACTCACATGTACTCGGAGCAGAGGGCTCGTGTCATTATGACAGACGGAGTCACACAAGGTGCATGAATAATGAGTTTAGTTTTTGTTATTTGCTCAACTAATTTAAAGTCGCTTAGCTGTAAGTTCAAAGAGCTAATTATCAATTTACCGATGATTATTTAAGTGAATTTATGTGTTTTTGAAATGTAAAATCATTAAATTTTATTAATCATAATGTAAATGAAAATTTGTGAGTAATACAAAAATATTAAATTTGTTTTGTTCATTTTTCTATTTATTATTTAAATTTGGTAAGTATATAATAAATTAAACATTTCTTTGAATTAATGGATTTTACATATAACAATATCACAATATTTTTAAATTGTTTTATTAAATTATTTATATTAAATCCTATAATATTTTGAGATTATATTGAATTGATTTTACTCTAAAGATCTTGCTAAATTATTGTTTATTGGAAAATAAATTCAATTTTCTGAAATTTCAGTTATGCTTTAATATCAAATATTTTATAATATATATATAAATTTAAGTAAATTATATTTACCTTATTTAAAATATATTCTAAAATAGTATATTATATTTACCTTATTAAAAATATATTCAAAAATAGTTTTGGTATTTTAAAATTTTCATACATTCACAAGTCAACCTAATTTAACAGAGTATTTGAAAACCTACTTGAGAAATTGTGCTGTTTGTCTTTGTTTTAACTAAATGGAAATTGATTATTATGCGTAGTGGACCATAATCGTGGTGAGGCTTGAAAAGTCGGAGCGATGACAATGCACTTATCATTGCATGGAATGCGACCTTCGGGATTGTCCAAATATCATTTGAATAGTCGAAGGCCTCTCTGTTGACTTACGGAGCAGATTAATTGAAACTGATGACAGATTCAAGATATCTCTATGCACACACAATAATTGAGTTTGAATTGATGAGTTTTGGATCTGAATTTCGAATTTGAATGTGTCTATTTAACGGGCAGATATGGCAACGCCAGTCGCTGGGCTTGGGCCGGCAGATGGCAACCCTGGCAGCGTTGACAAATTCAAAACTCAGCATGCGCCAAAAGTTTCTGTAACGTTGAGATATATGAGTGCTATATCGAACAAAAAGTCGTACGCAAAACAAATTTTATTTTGCTCTCGTCTCGTAGAAGTTTTGTATTCTCTTTTGTCGGGTCGCCGAAAAACGCATGCGCTGACAGCAACAACGGCAACTAGAACAACAGCAACATCAACAGCAACAGCAACAACAGCAGTGGCAACAGCAACAACAACAACAGCCTCGAAAGTTTATTTCATTCAATAGGAAATCCCCCACCATAGGTGGTGGAAAATCAGGCGAAGGGAGCCCGAATCGGAAGCGACGGACACTGCGCAAACCACGAGCCAGCGGGCAAATAAAAAAAAAGTAAAGGAAAATCAAGAGAAAAGGCAGAAGCAACAACAACAACAACAACAACAACAAGAGAGAGTGTGGAAGGGTGTATTGTGCTTGTTGTTGTAAAACAAACTCACCACCAGGGCGCGCATAAGGAGGGTGGGAGTTGCCCTTACTAAGTGAGCGCACGTGTGCGTTGGTGTTGGTGTACGAGCGTGCGTTCGTCGTGTCTGTCTCTGTCCGTGTGCTTGTGTGTGTGTGTGTGTGTGTGTGTGCGCAGCCGCCAGCCGCCAGCCCCCGTAAATTTGCTTGGTGAAATTTTTCGCTGCTGGCGGCCCGGTTTTGCGGCCCAGCAGCAGTTGCCCAGTCGCCCAGTTGCCTGTCGCCAGTCGCTCTAGTCGCATTTCGAGCTGTGCTGCTCAAGTGCCACAGATAAGATAGAAAAAATATAGCAAAAAATTTGCCAAAACAAAAATCTTAAACTGTAGCAACGAGCTAAGCCAACAACAACAAGAAACACGCGTCTTCTACAACATTCCCACGATCCCCCTACATAACTGGGCAGGGCGCTGTTATTTTTCTCAAATTTGCAAACGCGTGTCGCGTGTGAAATCTCTCTGTGTGAGTGTGTGTGTGTGCCTCTTCCTCTATCTCTTTCTCTCTCTCGCTATCTGTCTCTTGCTCTTGTTTTTGAGCAACAAAATATATGGAGGCTGTAAGAAACAAGTGAATGCACCTCGAACACCACCAACACCAACTGCAACAGCAACAACAACAACAACATCAATAATCAGTCAATTCCATTCAGCTCAGCTCAGCTCAGTTCAGCGCCAGGCAGCACACAGCATCCAGCAGTGACGATTCCAACCTCACTTTTGTGCCGGTATGTACAACGTCCCCCTTGGCCCCTAGTCCCCAAGCCCCTCCCCCTCAACTTTCTTTACCTATTTTAGTGTTTAATTATGAAGAAATTCCCCGTTTGTTGTCAAATATGTCGCCAGCTAAAGCTTACAGCAGGCATTTATTTTTAGAGCCTCGAGACGACACCTTTGCAGCACGCCCCATACACACACACACACACACACTCACACACAGAAAGAGCGAATGTGAATGAGTTTTGGGGGGTAGCGCACGAGTTTTCTTACTGAGGCAATCGGAATGTATGTCGCTGGGTTTATTATCTCATCGCTATTGGAAACGGCGGCGGTCGTAAAAAATTTAGCGCAAAATCTGTCAGTTCCGTTGCTTGCTTCCGCAAACAGCAGCCAGGGAGAGAAAGGCTCTCAGAGAGAGAGAGAGAGAGCGCGCGGGAATGAGAGAGAGTGTGTATCAAAGAGAATGAGCGTAAATTATGAATAAGAAGAGCAACAATAGCAGCAGCAGCAGCAGCAGCAGCAGCAGCTTCTTTGCCAGCAGTGCCAACAGTGTTGCCGTGCGTCGCATTTTGCGGCCAGCGACAAAAAGTATGTGACACAAAAATAAAACCAGACTAAATCAAATTATGGGACTACCTATTCGAAAGCAGCGCGCTAAATGAGGCTCTGTGGCTTTGATATATTCGAAAACAAAGTAATACCACTTAATGCTCCAATTAGCTTATCTGCTGCGATTAGATATGTCCAGGAGATAGCGATTCAATCAATAGATATCACACGAGTCAATATATTATATAACACTGACAATTTGTTGTTCCTGTTTTTTTTTTTTTTTTTTTTTTTTGGGTAGCCACCCTTGCGGCGCGCACAAAAGCCGGCAGCGAAAGCCGAATTGGGAGCAATGCAAAAGGCAGTAAAAATTTCGTAGTAAATGGGCACAGCTGCGCGAGAGCGACTCTTCGTGGGGGTGTCCGTGTGTGTGTGTGTGTGTGTGTGTTGGCGTGTATTTGTGTTGGTGAGAGCAGGCGCGTGAAAAATCCTGTAAAGCAAAGGAGCAATACAAAAGCAAAAAAACAGGCATTTACCCAATTGATTTTCAAGGCGGCCGACGTGGTGCAAAAAAAAAAAAAAAAAAATATATGAGACTACTACTAAAATATATATAGAATAAAACACAAGTGCTACAGTGCCATGATTAGGATTTTATTACGAAATTAAAGCTAAAAAAAAAGTGGCAAAAACGTGCAAAAATATTTGGCAGTTATTTAAGAACTGTTACGTGTGAAAATGCGTGCGAAAATGCGTGAAAAATGCTTGGCAAGCCTTGACAGCAGCAGCAGCAGCAGCAGCAGCGGCTGCGGCAGCGCCAGCACCAGCGACAGCGACTCATAGCCTATTGCATAAAGATGTGTGTGAGTACGTGTGTGTAGAGTAGCGTCTTCTCACCACCCCAAGCACCCCACTAACCAGCCCCAGCTCCACGCAGCGACTCAGCGACCCAGCGACCGCATGACAGCCCAAAAAGTATGCTACAAAAAAGTGAACGCAATGAGAGCTGCGATTGCTCTTATTGATTTGTGTGTTGCCTAGTGTTGGTGTTGTTATTTGTTAGTTGTTATTATTGTGGCTATTGTTTAACTGATTTGACATTAAATTGCAATCGGTTTCATCAGCAGCAGCGGCTGAGGCAGCGGCAGTGGCAGTGGCAGCGGCGATAACATTTCAAGTGCATTATGTCATTTTTCTCGTTTTGTTGTCCACCTGCCTGTGTCCCAGTCTATGACAGTATACATATGTACATATAAGCAAGTGTGTGTGTGTGGTTTGAGTGTTTGCCATTTCGCCAGTCGAGGACGAGGACACAGTGCTCGTTGTCTGTCAACAGGGCGCCATTTAATGCCGTAACTTTGTGTAATTAAAAAAAGAACAAGCAACAAGGCGGGTACCACATACACCTACACACACAGTTGCTTGAGTGTATATATTATAGTTGTATGTATGACACACATACAAAAACAAAAAAAAAAAAACAAAATTGTAATTTCCGCCCCAGCAACTAACTGAAACTGATGTTCGAGCTGAAATTGAAATTTCCGCTGATGTTATTTGAGCTCCGAGGCGTCAGCATAATGATTTAAACGACTTGACCACACTCCATCCATACAGCCGAGTAGGTGCGCGTGTGTGTGAGTGTGCGTGTGTCGCTGTTGAAATATGGCTTGTGCGGCAACGCTTGACGCTTGGGTGATTCTGGGTTAAAAGGGTCACAGCATGTGGGAGCAAGTGCCGCATTTCATATGCGACTGACAATACACATTCAATTGACACACACACACACACACACGCACTCACACACGCCTATATTGAGAGTAAGTAGGACTGGTGACAGCTTCAGTGTGGGTGCAGAGAGACAACAATTTAGTGGCTCGGCCTACTTCCGGTTTGATTGAAATTTATGCCTAAAAGTAGGCAGCGCTTGTTGGCCGCCTGGCAACTGCGCAAGATTTCGCACACTGAGCGAAATCAGCTGCAAGTCTGCTCTTCGCTCTGCGTTCTTGGCAACACACCCAGACGCAGCGTGGGTCAGCCAATTGGCTAAGCAAACTTAACGCTTGCCGGCAATATCCGTTTTATTTTTGTGCTGGTTTTTTTTTCTGTTAGCCACAACCTGTGTGCTCATTCAATTATCAAGTCAAATATTAACGCAAAAAGATTCGCCGTCCGGTTTTAGCACGTGTCCGCCTAGCCGTCAGACCGGCAGGCCGTCAGACCGGCAGGCCGTCAGTCCGTCAGTCCGGCCCAGACAACGGACCAGCCCAAAACCGGTACGGTTCGTCAGCCCAATTTCAGTGTCCTTCAATGAGTGCTTAACTGCGTCTCGAGTTGCGTGTAATTCATGTTTTTGAGGTGTGCCTTGCACTGGGTTTTCAGTTTCTTGTTTTTTATAGTATTTGTTATTGTTTGACAAATCAATGGGGAGCTCAACGTTCAAGAATCCTCAGTGCATCCGCCCGAGTGCTGTTGACAAATAAGCTATGCAATTGTAGGTCGTCAATTGCTTTCGAGGGCAGCAAAACAAAAATATCAGCTTCTGCTAAATACGTAAATGTGCCAGAGTGCGGCTGTCGATTATTATTGCCTTAATATTTAAGATTATTTGCCTTTTTATGAGGTCAGCGATGACCGAATTACAATAAGTGCACACAGAGACCTCAGTAAATACTAGCTGTAAAATGTACGATATGCATACTTACTGAGACTTTTAACTAAATTGACAGATTAAAAAAAAAAATTAAGTAAATAAACGCAAAGTAACCTTAAGGTTCTCTTTTTATTGAGACACTTGACAATACATTTTAGCTCTACGTTAATTGCTTCCCATTTAATCAATTGGCAAACAGTTGATAAATTATAAGCCGGTTCTCATCAATCCGTATTAGCTTAGTAACATCTTATTATTTTAAGTTTTTGTTATAGGCCCAGTATTAATTACTATTTATCGAAGTCTTAGATACTTTTCTTATCTTATCGATGTTTGCATTTATATTGAAAGCTGGAATCAGGGTGTAATGCTTCTGATAAAAAGTATGTAACAAGCAGATCCCAGAACCTATAAGAGCTAGGTACATGAAATTTGTATGTAGCTCTATTCAAATTATCTGCTCGATGCCAACAATTAAAAACGCTTCCAAAACTCGTCTATAACGTCATATTTCGTTAATCTTTGCATTCAGATTGTAGTGAATTGAATATTTTTGACACCGGCCAAAAACGGCAAAAATTTTCAATTGAAATATAGCCATTATTTAATGAGCTGACATTTTGTTTATTTTCTTTATTTTTATTTCAAAAGTATTAATTGTTTATGTTGAGCTGAAAGTGTTATTCAAATCAGTAAAGTGAACAGAAATTGCTAAAAACAAGTAAGAAGACTCTAGTCGAGACTGCTCGACTAGGAGATACCCTGAACCCTC